CGCATAATAACCCTCGAGGTTTTGTGCCATTTAAAAAGTCAACCAACCAACACCCTTTTAAAGTGCGAGTGGGGTTAAGAGACCCAGTCACCAAATCCGGATGGTGAAGAATCATCATCCACCACCGTTTTTTAGTTCGGGCGCGACTGTAGACTTATTAGCTTTTTTGAAGCGAGAGACATGAAAAATGAGCAAGCCCCTTACCGGGACTTGAGCCTGGACCTCTCGAATATGCGCCGAATGTGCTACTGTTATGCAAGGAAGGCATGCAGAAAGGAGAGAGAATGTACCTTATAAACTTAGTTAATAACTTTCATATTCTTTGGTAGCAGCCAGTGTGTTAAAAAGGGATAAGACTTTCTAGTTGAATTATATGCTATACGGATGTATCGGTGATTTCCGAAATTTTTAAGACTTGGCTTATAGGGTGATACTGAGAATTAATGTTTTTAAAACTAATGAATTATAGAGAAATTAAGAAAAATTCTTTTTCTTACAGTTCTGCAACCTGTTTTCAGTATTTCAACCAAAGAAATAACCAGGAAACCAAAGAAATAATCTACTTGCCAACAGTGCATTCGCCGCCCAGACGGTAGAGTGGTTAGAGGAGCCTACTGTGGTACCGAAGGGCCCGGGTTCGAATCACGGGTTTGTCATGTACGTTTGTAAATGTATAGTGTCGGTGCGGCATGTCGGCACTCTAAATATGCGGCGAGCCGAAAGTCCTCTAGTGTGGATTTAGTGGATGAGAAGAGGGGTGGGAGACACCCGGATCCCCCGAGTGCTCTTCCTCAAAATTGGGGGTGGAAAATAGAAGTCCAACTTTTCTTCCAAGTAGGCTCTGGCAACCATTTTTCCGCTTAATGTGGACACGACAACAACAACAGTGCATTGATGATTCTGCTGTCAGACATAGGTATCATTAAATGTTTAAAGACATACCGGAAAAAAAATAATGAATATATTTTAAATGTACGTAAAGAAAGTACATTTAGAAACTTTTGGCTAGGAATACTGGAAAAAATATTGCACACCTCCCCCCCCCATAGATTTGCCTTAGTTGCAAAATACTGGATTCACACCATTAATTCTTGATTGTAAAGATTCAGCAGTAATATTAAATCATTTTGGTCAGTTTTTGAAGATTCTAAAACAGCAGTTTGCTGTTAATGCATTGAAGTTCCTAGAGTGCTTCATTTTAGTTGCGTTAATTTATGAAGATCTAGTAGAGGCTGTGGAAATGAAATCAGCCTAATTATTTGAAATTTTCTATGAATTTTTAGAGTCATTAAGTTTATTTCACAGCAGAAAACAAAACAAAAAAAATCAGTAATGCCTTTGCCGAGGTTCGAACTCTGGACATCTCCTTTAATAAAAGCTGTTTCACCGCTCTGAGATTTAGGTAGTTTTTTAGAACTTCTATTTATACTGCACCTTGCGTCGTTTGAATATAGGCAAAATTTTGATTCAGCAAATCATGGGTGGTTTCCAATGATCAGCAGGGGACCACCAGCGGCCGAGAGGTAAAGGTCTCTGAACACTGGTAGTTCGGTCCAAGGTTCGAATCCCGCGAACGGGGCTGGCTGCATGGGCCTTTCCGTGGTTTTCCCCATGTGTAATACGTATGCGAGCCGGTTTCCCACAGAAAATCCTCCATGAAACCATTTCTTACGTTAGGCACATAGCCCGCAAGGCTTTGCCGTAATCACATAAACAAACCAATGATCAGCAGTCCATGTCTTGTGAGCTATGGTCAAGATTAACAAACTATCTGCGCGCTGTTATTTAACATCGATTTCCCTTTTTCAGCGGTATTCTTGATTTCCGTATGGTGAAATTTCCTGTACAATTTCTTCTCAGAAATTAACATGTGGAGTCCATTATTAAAGGAGTGAGGGAGTTTACCTTGTCGAAATCTTTTTTCGGTTGAACAGGCTATAAATCTGTCAGTTGTCACGACATATTGAAAAACGGATTTTGTACTTTTTTTCCTTTTGTCCAAGCTGACTTACACCGATGTTTATGCAAGCATAAGAATTGTTCTTTGCTGTTTATCCGTGAACTCCACTACTTACCTTTACCTTGATATTATGCCTGTTAGAGAGCCAAAAGATAAGGTACTTTTTTACTTTCATTTATATTTGACTTCCGACCTACTGATTTTATTTTTCTAAAATTTTCTACTGGGAATGTTCACCGAGAATGAAAGAACACATATGTTATTATTACAACTCATAAAGTGTTAAACCCTGAGGACAAAATATCTGCGATCAAAATATTTTTTTTTTTAAATTTTATTTTAAGAGAATTTGTTTGAATAGTTTATGAATAGCAAACGCTTTGGCTTAAAAATTATTGAATATATTTTGGCATTAAAAATGAAAGAGCTTTATTTAAGAAAGATTTTTAATGACCATATTTCCGCTGTTTGCTGCATAATTCATTTGAATAAATAATTTATACCTTTATTGAATGTCATGTTTGACTGTTACATTTTCTTGAATTTTAAAATACAAATTTTGCATTGCAGCACCTTTATTGAGGCAGAACTTTATACTCTCGGTATACTCCACATAAACAGAATTGCGTGTGCATTAGATAACTCACTATATGTAGATTAATGTAATGCGCAAATACAGCACAGTGTGAAAATGCGTATGATTTTTTACAATGCTTTAATTTATGTTCTGAAAATTTTCTGTATTTTTCTCAGAATGGCAAATACTGCATCAAATGACAAATTTTGTTCCCTTGATATGCTTGCTGAAGTAGCTTCTGCAACTCTGAAAAGCGATCCAAGTCTGAACTCCAATGGAAGCAGACAAAGATTTCGAAAAAATTCTAAATCAAGGGTAAGTTTTTGTTCAAAATGTAATTTTTTTTTTTTTTTTTTTTTTTTTTTTTTTTTGCGTTCTGTTCAATGAGTTTTCCTTAATCTTTCACCCGTGCAGAAACCCATGAAATAAATTTCGTATTTTAGACGAGCCTTACCTAAAATATTTGTAATTACAGTAACGCACTGTTTAACCGAAACGGTTAAATAATACAGAAATTTTCTCATCAGGTTTTTAATTAGTAATCTCTATTTTTTTAAATTAATAGTTTTTTATTAACTCTTTCGTGGAAGTAGTTTATATTTTATAGTGAATAAAGTAGTGATTCTGTAACTGTAACTAAATTTTCAGCTGGCCATATATTACTAAGAGCATATGTGAATTTGAGTTTCAGAAAGCTGCGCCTCTTTTTACTCTGATACGTAAGAACACAGTAAACAAAAAGACGAAATAAAAGTCAGGTGGCCGCCATCAGTCGAAAAAGGTGAGTGTCTTGTCGAAGGTCAAATCAGTGACTGAAAATCTAGAATAAGTAAAAATGTTAAGGATGGAGAGTGTCAGAAGGATATTTGTGCTTTTCTCTGGAAATGGAGTACATCTAATACAGTTGATGTTTGTTAGGATGAGTGAGAACTGATAGAAGAAATTTCTGGCAAGTTTTTGAATATAATCTTGAATTGTATCTACTTGAGATCACGGTATACCGAATTTGGAATGAACCATGGCGCGTTGATGATCTCTCGATGCTTTGTTTAGAAGAACTTAAATGTTGAAAGATTTTGGGCAGCGTGGCGGACCGTAGCATAGAGTAATGCTGGTCAAGTATAGATTTATATATGAGGGGTTTTAGAAACGGGATCTTTTGCCAAGAAGTGGGCCATATTGCAAGCGTGATATTAATTTTTTCAGTTTCCCTGAGATGTTTCTGAAAGTCAATTTTATTCAAGAATGACTCCTAGATATTTACTTCGTCAACCCAGTCAATCCTTTATCAAACGAAGAGTTTCTAGGTGGAGTGAAATTTTTTGGCCTTTGCGAAAATTATGCTTTGATTTTTCGGTATACTGCAATCCTCCAAAGAGTGAGTCAATTTTTTAGATGATTGAGGTAATGTTGAAGAAGGAGCTGAACATCAGTCACAGTAGAAGCTTGGGTCATAATTGCAGTATCATCAGCGAAAAGAACAATGGTAATGTGTGGGTCCTTAGGAATATCGTAAATGTTATATAAATATTGAGAAAGTACAGATCCTTTAGGCACTCCAGCGAAAATTTTTCTCGTGGAAGAAACAGGACTGCCAATTTTCACTGAAAAGCTTCTGTCTTGGAGATAGGAAGCAATAAGTCTAATACAATGATCGGGGAAGTTTAACTTATAGTCAACGCGCCATGGTTCATTCCAAATTCGTATATCCACCGTGATCTCAAAATAGATACAATTCAAGATTATATTCAAAAACTTGCCAGAAATTTCTTCTATTCAGTTCTCACTCATCCTAACAACTACATCAACTGTATTAGATGTTCTCCATTTCCCAGAGAAAAGCACAAATATCCTTCTGACACTCTCCACCCTTAACATTTTTTACTTATTCTAGATTCTTCAGTTCACTGATTTGGACCTTCGACCAGACACTCACCTTTTTCGTCGACTGATGGCGGCCACCTGACTTTTACTTTCGTCTTTTTGTTTTACTGATGTTCTTCACGTGATACAGAGTAAAAGGAGGCGCTGCTTTCTGAAACTCAAATTCATTATATGCTCTTAGTAATATATGGCAGCTGAAAATTTAGTTTACAGTTACAGAGATCACTACTTTATTCACTATATCTTTTAGTCTAATACAATGAACGGGGAAGTTTAACTTTGTATATGTCCCTGGTGCCATACCCTATCAAAAGCTTTCGCAATATCAAGGAAAATGGCTCCGGTAGGGAACTTGCAATTGAAACCGTCAGTAATATAGTTGATGACACGAAGCAGCTGGTGATTAGTACTGTGAAGATGACGGAAGCCAAACTGTTCTTCTGGAATGTAGGAGCTCTGTGGAAAAATTTGATTAAGATGATAAAGAATAACTTTTTCAACTGTTTTGGAAAGTTGATTGAGAAGGCTGATTGGGCGGTAGTTCTGGGGAAACGTTGAATTTTGATTCGGATTTGGGAAGACGACGATGATGGCATGTTTCCATATATTAGGAAAGTAAGAGAATTTGATGATAGAGTTGATTATCGTAGTAAGACAAGTGATGGCATTGGTAGGAAGATGTTTCAACGCTTTGGTAGAAATACCATCAACACCAGGAACTTTTCTGGGTTTCTGAGCTAATATAATCGGCAACCAACTTAGGCGTGGCAAGGAATGTAAAGTTCAAAGGACTTGGGATATTTAGGAAGGTATTAACTTTGGAGATATGATTGTTGTCGTAGGTGGTATAGTATTGGGAGTAAACGTTTCTTCTAGTATATCTGCAAAGGTGTCAGCTTTATCTTCGTCTGAATAAATCATTCCGTTGGTACCATGAAGTGGCGGAATTTGCTTGAAGGGTTTCTTAAATTTCTTTGCAATGTCAAAAAGAGAATTTTCTTCAGTTGCGAGAGAGTTGAGGAAGTTTCGCCAGCGTTGCGTCTTGAAGTTACTAATGTTCTTTTTGGTGTCACGTTGAAGAGCGTTCAGTTGAGTTTTTTAGCCTTGGGTCTCTTGTATTTTGCCACTTTTTCCTAATACGATTTTTGCGTTTGATTTTTTGTCTTATGCTGCCTGGAAGAGGAAGAAAAGGATGGGAACTGATGAATTTATTTGTTGAAAAATTGATAGCATGTTTAATAAAGATGGTAAACTTCTTGATTTCAGACTCAATATCGTCTTCGTTGGTAATCTTGGGATTTCCAGGAATGGTATCTGAAATGATTTTTGAGAATTTTTTCCAGTCTGTAACGCCAATACTCTTGCCCAGTGAAGGTAAGTAACTATTTATGCTGATTTCAAGAAGAATGGGATTATGGTCAGATGAGAGAGCTGGAATAACAGAAATTTGGCAATTATAGTTACATAGAAAAAAGGCTGTTACATAGAAAAAAGTTAATAATAGAAGAATTATTATAGCCGTAATGCGTAGGTTCACCAGAGGCATGAATGGTATAATTTTCTTTTAATCATGCAAAAAATTTCTCGTCCTTTCTGTTGCTAGCTCCTTGATTCCAGCATTGATGCTTAGCGTTTAAATCTCCTCCGATTAAAGCAGGAGAGTTAAAATCCAGTAGCTGTTCAATTTCAGAAATGATTGGACTATTATTAGGAGGTATATAGATATTAGAGATAATGCATTTTTTTCTCCTCAATTTGAATTTCGTTAGTATTGCTTTCAAAAGAGGTAGAAAAATTTTGTTTGTGTTGATGTTGGATATTCCTTTTAACAAAAGTTATAATTCCACCTCCGCGTCCGGTTTCTCGATCCGTACGGTAAATATAATAATTTGCGTAAAGCACTTTTAGCGCAGGTTTCAAATGCGTTTCCTGTATAAGAATAACTTCGGGTTCCAGTTTCAGAAGAAGATTGCCAAATTCATCTTTTTTGTTAAAAAGGCCATTAGCATTCCATGAAAGAATTTTGATGTTTCTCAGATTAATACTGCGTGGCAATTACTAATTTTGTCAAGAATGTCCACAATTGCACTTATTTTGTCTATAGGCGAAGTTTGCTTCTTCATAGTTTTGAGGCCTTCTATAATAACAGTCATATTGTTTTTAATGAACCCAAATTAAATAACTCTGAAAAAGTGGAGATTGTGGTTGGAGTTTCGGATAAGTTGAAGTTCTTATTATTTTCAGGCTTCGGAGAATCTATTTCTTCGTTGAGAGGTGAAAAGTTGTTGTCTTGTAAATTCCAAAGATTTTTGGTTGGTGGATTGCTGGGTGTAAACTTCTGCTTGGTTTGCGGTCTTGCTGGACACTTGAAGAAGTTAGCTGGATGTGGACCACTACAATGGCAGCAAGTGGCAGGATTATTTTTGTCAACTGGACATTTTTTAGGCTCATGATTTCCACCGTAACACACACAAACACAGTCACGAGTACATAAAAGTGATCTGTGGAAGTATTGGTGGCAACGATAACATTGTGGAGGGACAGGCCTCCGTTTTAAGGCCTCAGCAGTGACATTCATATATCAGATGTGCTTGGTGTGATAAATGTTTCCTAATGCTTCAGTCTTAGGAAGGTGAAGTAAGAAAAGCGGCATTGGTTTATTTTCCTTTCTGTTTCTCATGATAGTGATATGATTTATGGTAAAGCCTTGGTTTGTTAGTTCTTGGACACTATAATTGGGGTTCATGGTCACTGGCAGGTCTCTGATTACGATTTTAATCACTTTGTCTTTAGGCAGAAGAAACGTATGGGCTTTAAGATGTGTTTCTTCTATGATTTTACGAATAAAGCGGCGAGAGTCAGCATCTGGGGGTTCAATTTGTAGTCTATTTCCTTTAAGAGTACCCATTATCTTTCTTCCAGTGTGATTACTTAAATTTGCAAGAAATTCGTCGGCTTTAACAATATTATCCACTATTATGGGTGGAACTCCATTCTTTTGAGTTTTATTTTCAGAGAATTTCTTTTTGGTAGTTTTTGGAATAGTGGCATGTATAGATGGTTGACTAGAAGTGGGTTGGTGGTCTTCTTCAGTATCATCTAAGTTCATTGAGTCATTATCGGTTTGGAGAAGTTTGAAATTTGTTATTAGTTTTAAAATTTGGTTCGTCATTTTCGCTCTCAGAATCTGAAGACTTTCTTAGTTAGCGTTTCAGTTGTTTACGGAATTCACCTCCAGTTTGATGAGCTCCGCAGTATTGTTTCAAGTCGTTTATTTGTTTCTGTAAAAGTTCATTAGAACTTTTGTGTTCGTTGATAGTTGCAGTAGCTTGAGCATTTTCTTGTTCTCTTAATTGGTTGATGGCTTTTGCAAGTAGCAGATGTAGTTCTTTGATTGTTTCGGGTGAAAATCCAACATTTATTTGACTTAA